TGAATATGCTAGGGAAAAGATGTTTGAAAAAGAATGTACTAAGAGTTTTGCGGCGACTTTGTTGCCCTTACCTTTGAGGGTTTCCCTATGTTGGCTCACTCGCTTGCAGCAGGAACTAGCACCCTTGCATCAATTTTGTGTATCACTTATATGTACCATTAGTCCAAATTTGAGATCTCAGTTGCGTATAGTTGCGTACTGTCTTGGTCAAAGCTCTTTCACATACACACACTTTTTAAATTGAATGTAGACTCTTCTCCCCCTCATCGAGTCTTTTTCCCCACCCTCGGTTAGAGGACAAGGACAACATGAAATTAAATCGTGGAACGCGCGGTGATTTAAATAAAAAATAAATTAAGAGAGAAACGCAAACACTTATGATGGAATCTGCGAGATCCTTCTGCAGAGGGTTGGTTATACATTCTGTGGGCATATTCTGGAACTAAGAAAATACGTTTTAGTTTCAATTGTGAAAACAAGGATTAGCTTTAATTGATCGTTAGTCAAATAAATTTAATACACGACATATTGTACAGTTATTTCATTAAATTTTACATTTATCTAAAAGCATCATCTTTACAAACAGCTGTGCAAAAATGTCAAGGGATCATTTTCGACGAATACTTATTTTTGATTATGTCAAATTTTTCCACAACTTTCCTTTCTCCAATCGCTCTACGCAACAGTCTGAATTTTCAGAAAACCTTTAATTTTTAAAAAGCTTCTTCAACTCTGACACGTTATAGAGTTACGCCCTGTAGAAGACCCACGACGGGCATCGCTAAATATAACCGCTTTTTCCTGAATCCGCTGTACATCCGTCGTGACCTTGACGTCGCCGCGGCCAACTTCGCGTTGAGCTATTTCCAGAAAAACATCACTATGCACAGCTGTGGATATTGTTTGGCAACAAGTCGTTCTCCGATGGTTGAAACAAAGATGCTGCGAACTCCGTCGACCTCTGTATCAGGTGCTCACCGTGTGTGTTAATTACCGACAATTTCCCAAAATATCGATAACGTACGGACCCCCACGCACGGGCGAGGTTGTTATTGTGTTCAAGAGTATAAAAAGAAACAATCGACTTGATAACATCAATTTAATTGCAATCTTTTATACAATTAATTTACCATATTTTAATTCAAAGTATTCCCTAAATTTTTACCTATCTATAATTTATATACACGATTTTAAGAGATTTTTATGTAACTACACAAGGAATCGAATCTAGCGCGTCTAATACGCAGATATCTGGCAACACTGTGAGAAATTATTTACTTCGCGTCCAGCAACTCGTGTCGAAATATATATT